ATAGCGCGGTGTCTTCTTTTCGAGATTTTCGGCTTCGTTATTGACACTAGAACTTGAAAATTGTTGTATTTGCATCCGTGCTGTTTTCGTTTGTCGAAAGATACGTCGAAGTTTCTACTTGATTTTCTTTCTTTGTGCATTGTTCAAAATTGTTGTTCTTGGAAACCCACAACTTGGACCAATGTTATATTGTACATCGTTGCATGCTTCAAACTTTTTTAAGTTCTGCATTTTTTCTTTTGAATCCAAACTTTATTAGCTTCTGATTGTATTTGTGTTCTAGATTTATCGAACTGACGAGTGACGATGGAGCTAGACTCTGAAACGTTTTCAATAGAGATATGCTGAATTTTCTTCACTTTTAAATTTTTAGTGCATGCTTCATTTACAGTTTTTTTTAACATCTTTAATTTCCTGTTCGTACAAGTTACGTGTAAGCTTTTTCAGTAGTACATTTTATTCATTTATTTGAAGTTATTCTTGTTACAGGCCTGCGCTTTGAAGCTGTATCCAGCAGTCAATTAGAACGTATTGAAAAGTCCTTTGAATACAGATGTGATTTGAATTATTATCCGATGTTTGAGTACTTATCAGTATTTGGAGTATGTAGAGTGAAACCAATTGAATGATCATTAGCAGCTTTATCCTTAATATTCAGTAGCCATATAGTTGGACGTTCGTTATAGCGAGGCAACGCCTCGTAAATGAGCCCTCGTTTATACTCCGTATACTCGCTCCGCATTTCCGCTGGTCAGTACTGAATCAGACGTATGGCGAGTTTGGTTGAAAGGCGTTAACTAATATCGCTGGAGCTACATGGACAAGTCTTCGAAGCTCCAATAATCACCAACCAACCTAACTAATATCGTCTGGGTTTCTTTTAGTATCGTCTGGGTCCCAGGAGCTTTTAGTCAAAGCTTTCTAGTTCCAGCATTGGCGTACGACGTCTCGCTCTTAGTGTGGAAAATTTAATGAGCATTTGTGGACACGTTTCATGAATGTAGCCGAAGTCATTGCCAACACCGCTCATAGATCTGTCGGGCTTTTATTGCTTCACTGATTCAACCCCCTAACGCCGGACATGAGTAACCGGAGCAATATTGTCACAAGCCTACTTCCCAAAAAGAATATGTTGCTAGTGAGCGCAAAATGACTTGCACTGATGGTTGTTGCCACGTACGACAACTTTAAAATATTATCTGTTGCGTACCCGGAGAGTGACATGCGGGTATTGAGAGTAAGAGCGCGTGCGTTCCTCCTATCGGCCAAGTAGTATCAAGGTGCATAATCTTTTATAAATCACTCAAGCTTTAATGCCTCGATTTGAATGAAGTTTAACCTCTATTGTTAATGCAGCGCAGGTAACAGTTCACTTACAGCCCTAGTCATCAGCCCGCAGGTTTCAGGTCAGCTGCGAAAATAAGTTTGATATGGAACTTGGTTGGCAAGATTTTGTGTTCTTATCATTATTCCATTCGACGCTCATTAGTTTCCCCGAGTTGCTTTCAATAAGTAACATCAAAAATTACTTGTCAAGTAAAATTAATGGGTTTCTGCATATTATGATAAAAATAATCAGAGCAGTTTTTTATTCCTGATTTTCCGAAAATTCTGTTGAATTTTTCTCAATTCGCGAGACTCGCTTCGAGGTATCTAATGCTTGCATAGTATGTAATCAACAATCAATGATTTATAATCCTTTTTTACTGATTCTTCCTTTGACGGCTTCGCGTCAGTTTTTAGATAAATTACTGTTCCTTAGTATACAATCAACCAGGTACCGACTTTGTATTAGATGGGTCAATATTTTCACAAACTAAGAGTATTTAAGCTATGCCAGCAGATGACCACGTATTCTAAATATGCAATAGCTTATTCCCATACTCGAGAACGCTGCATTCGTAAAGCCAATGCATCTGAACACCTGACATGCGTCAGAGTTCTCGTTAAAAATCTCTCATCACTCTTCGCTCGCTTGCCGATGCTACGCTATTTACATTCCAGCCTTCTAGTTGAAGAAAAGGCTGCTGTTCATTTTTCGTGATCCCTTTTAACGGCGTATATAAGAGCTTTCTCGCAATTATGTGCAATGAATAGTTATAAAAGAATTTAAAGGTAAATAAAACGCTCATAAATTTCACCATATCTTTATCTGAATGTTTCTTTATTTTACGTAAATTTGGCTTTTCTCCGTTGATTTTACTTGTGAGTTCCAGGTTTTGGAGCTGGTTTTCGTAACGTTTACGATGACGATAATTAAGTGAAGTTATATGGCGTTTTCTGTACGTTAAGTACTTGGATAACTTGTGATTTAATCAAATAATTGAGTACACTTTCAATTAAACTTGAAGTTTAAAAATAACGGTCAATACGCGCGTTTTAGCTTTTTCACCCAATATTCTTGTTGAATTGCTGGAATAGAGATGAGCTTGACACCTGTGGTGATTCCAGGTAACGGAACACGGTTTTGAGTGCGTCACGCAACCTGTTGCAATACCTATTGCGCTATATAGACGCGACAGATGCACGAGTTGCACCACGGAAATACGAGTAATTGCATCATGGAAACTCATAGTATGCTTACATCTTTCATCGATGCAGCTGTTCAGGGCTCTGAACACCTGTTACGCCTGCCCTCGATGTGTGTGGTCTTACACGACTTTTATTCATTTATTTACATGAAGGTTTTCGTTGCCGTTTAGATTGTGCTTCAAGTTTTGATTATTTGGTTTCCCCTTAACTTTTTAGCCTTAACTTTAACTTTTTACTTTCAAATGGAATTACTAGAAGGGAAAGACGATGATTGGGCCTTTCATTATTCAATATCATTTGGGGGCTACGCCGTATACGAACCTCCATTCTAAGCTTCCAATCAAATTTTAATGCAAAGAATTCGGTTGATTAACTAATTTTTGATCCGTAATTAAACGTATTTCCGAGCAAGCTTGACATTGATACAACATCTTATAGCTTGTGTTTCAATTTTAAGTTTGTTAAATATAAATGTGACAACGCCGTGACATGTAGAATTTTTGTTAAAATTCATGCCAAAAAGGTGTTGTATTTACACTGGTTTAACCGGCGCGAGCGTTGGGTGCAGTTCCAGGAAACTTCCTGTCGAGCACGCACTCCGCCCAGGGCTGTTAGAAATTCGTGCCGCAGTCAGTGACTACCTTCGTTGGCCACTCTAAAACCGCCTCTAATGTTAGTACATGTGCATGTGCAGTTCATGGAAATGTGCGATTTGCGCTAATACCGCTGACAGGGCGAGCTGAACGCAACCTACTGTCCATGAGAGGCCGTGAGCATGCAGTCTGCTGAATATGCAGCGGGATCTTCCTGACACTGCCAGCGCCAGCGCTTAATTTTCTCCCGCTATCGAAAGCCGCGGCTTGAATACTTACATCTTCACGACCTCTGTACCTTTTGTGGTCTATCGCTTTCTGATGGAAACGTTGCATTCTCATATTATTTTACAGGATAAATTATTTTACAGTGTTCACGAAAAGAGTGTTTGGCCGGCAAGTCTAGAGCTACCTTGATGCTTGCGAAGCACCGATTGCGCATCGGAATATTCGACTATTATATATTATTTCTAACTTGTCACTTGGACACATGAGCTGATTTTAATTTAAATTTATCGACGCATAATGTCTGATGAGGTTGAAAAGAGTCTTTGTGATTGCAAGTAAATGGGCGAGTCTGTACGCGTTAGAAAATCTGATATGATTATGGTATGCTTTACATCAACGCATTCTTGTAGCTATGGCTAGTTTTTCGATTGATGGGCTGTGCAAATAACGCGTTGTTGGTCGTAGCAGTTTCTTGCTTGATGATGGTAAACTCGGAGTGCCTGATTCGGCCACTGCTTCTACGAACCCACAACGAACTATGATTAACGAACGACTGTGACCCACGACAGATTATGACCCACGACAGATTATGACCCACGACAGATTATGACCCACGACAGATTATGACCCACGACAGATTATGACCCACAACGGAGTGACCTCTCACTGCGCAGGACAAGTGCAGTGCGCCGCACTCCATATCACTCCCTGCACTCGTTGCACTTTTAGTCCTGTACTTGCATGCGGTTCCCTCGTCACGCGGCTTCCAGGTTTTTCTTTCTTCTGAGATTTGGGCAACGTTGTTTATTTTTTCTGTATGCATCTGCGAAAGAAAAATTTGTCAAGGGAAATCAAATTTTATACCGTGCTCGTTTTGTATACGTCTTGCTGTGGCACTATCCTTTTATCTGTTCTTAGTTGTAAATGGACTTAACGATTTCTCTCTGTTATTATAGTTTATGTCCATGTCGTATTTAATGCATCTGTTAAGGATGACAAGCTCTTCATTTGAATCTGTTAACAAGCTCCTCTGACAGCAGAATGTGGTATCCTTACCTGCACCCGAGCTTTGACGGTGTACTCAGATTAAGAATTTGGTCGCCTATTCTTACTCAAAGTTATTGTTGACGATTACGAGGCGCAATAGTTGATTCGTTTTTAAAAACGAAATTAAAATACATTTAAATTTTACAGCCGATGTAAAATTTAAATATAGTCGGAGACTGGCGCAGCAATGTAACCGAAATCAAAGGAACGCGTACCGACGCTGGGTTATAGTGTTTTGTTGGGGCGCTAGCTGTTCCACAGCGTACGACGAAGTTCCTTTTTTCTTTGGTTATTTTCATTCCAGTATTCTGTGCATACTTTTATTTACTAACGATTCCGGTAAACACGCTTATAGAAGCAAATTCTTTGCCGACGGATAATTTATCTGTAGACGAAGAGCCTTCACGTCTGCTTCCTTTATTTTCAATTTATTTTCTTATTCCATAGATCAATTCCTTAGATCGTGCATGGAATGAGTAACTGTATTATTGTATAACACGACCACAGTCAATTAGGTTGGACTTGACGTTGTTCGCTAACAATAACCTTGACTATCTAGTTGTCGAGCTTGCTTTGTATTGACAGCTTTCTTGTTTTCAGCTCCTGCACGACCTGAAGCAAGGCCTGCAACGGCGCGGTGGTGCAGAGCATCCCAGCCGACGCAGCAGCGTACGTCACGCGTTACTGATGTGTTGTGTGTACCACACACGCATCACGCGCTACTGATGTGTTGTGTGCATTATACACGCGTCACGCGCTACTGATGTGTTGTGTGTACCACACACGCGTCACGCGTTACTAATGTGTTGTGTGTACCACACACGCGTCACGCGTTACTAATGTGTTGTGTGTACCACACACACGTCGCGCGTTACTGATGTGTTGCGTGTATCTCATGCCAAGCAGCAAGTGCATATTCCTAGCCGTACATCGCAGTCGCATTTACTCTGAAAATTTATTCCGTCATATTTGACTAACGCTAGTCTTTTTATAACATATATCCATTAATTTAAATTTTGCTTCTAACTTAGTTATTGATTATCTATTCCCATGTAACGAGTTTCTCCTGAAAATAATTCATTTGCCTGCAAAATATGAATTACAGTTGACCTAGTCATGAAGTTTTAGTCGAACGTTATTTCAATGTTATTTGTTCGACGAAATGTAACCGGTGTTTTCATGTCTGTTGTGCAGAGAGCGACAGAGAGGGTGAGGTGCGGTGTACCGAGGTGGGTGTTAATGGTGGTCGCGTTGACGCTGACCGTGGTGGTGGTGGTGGTGGTGGTGGTGAAGGTAGTGGTGGTGATGGTGGTGGTCAGGTTATGCCAGGTCTTCCACTGCACTGGTACGACGAGCCGCCCTACGAGAGCGACCCTGAGGACTTCCTCTTCGGCTCCAGCGACTGCCACAGGTGCGGCGAGTCTTTCCTTTTGCCAGTTATTCTCCTGGGAAATAAATACATTCCATTTCCCTTAAGATAATCTGATTGATGATCTTTACACTCAAACTCAGGTCATTATTGTGTATACGTAATTTGTATGGCATGCAGCCCTCACGTTCTGCCTTCTCTGAGACAATGTCTTTGAAGAGCCACTTACCATAATTATGGGTGACTTTCAAAGGAATATTGGCTAATTTGAAACAAAAACTGCTTAACTATACCGATAAAGACATTTATCATCCTACAAGATCACATTTTTCATAAATATTTGTAATCAAATCATTCATTGTGTAAATTATCCGTAAATTCACACTTACCTTCACACTTATCAGTCGTCTCATAACGTACCTGTACCTTAGTGACGATGAATTTGTACAATATCGTTTTCCTCCGACGAAAGATTTGCAGCATATAATAGTGTTAAGATGTGGCTAGGCTAACTTTAAACGGTATGTTCAGCGGCGAGGACGAGAGCAGCCGCAGTTTACGGGACAGTCTGCGCGAGGAGGACGTAATATCGCTGCGCACCGCAGGCGACATTTGCCTGCCACGCACTGCGCCCGAGTGCGTGCCTCTGCTGGACGGCTCTGCTGCGTACCTCGCCAGAGATGGTCCTCCTATCTCCTACTACCAGCAGACGCCCTGTCACTTCAAGGTCTACGACGGCCGAGCGCTCGACCACGCCTACCGACAGCACCAAGAGTGCGAGACATACAGAGAACATTGGTCTGGTAACGGCTCATTGCGGGATCCGAGGACCAAAAGTAAGGCGGATAAGCGAGACAAGGATAAATTCCATAAGATTGACAAGGAGAATGATAAATATTACTGCAAAAACACTTCTAAGAAAAGCAATAACAAACATCGCTCCGTACGAGGGCTCAGTAGTCGAAGCAGCCGTCCTGCTGGAAGTCCGCCTGGGAGTGTCTGCAGCAGCGCACCAGTGCAGCTGCTGTCACAGCTCAGCCAGCAGCCGGTCTATGACAACATCAGTGGAGTGTGTATCTCCAGACCTTCCATGCCCATCCACACGTCCTCGAGAGGCGGAACTGTTCTCACCAGCTCTTCTTGCAACGCCGCTGCCAACCTACACCAGTATGTCAACGGCACCAACTGGTCGAGTCATGGCCAACCTGTCCTGCCTCATTACCGACCATTCCCTCCGACACAGCAGCAAGCGCTGCATTATCAGTCCCAATATTATTGTCCAACGCAAAGTGGAAGTAGCAATAATCGCTCGGTTATGAACGGTACCACTTATAGTACTGGTGACCAGCAAGTACCTGCCGCCCCTTCCCGCCACAACCTTCAGCTGAGAGGTCTCTCCTCGTCTCAGTCTCACTACCTGCACATGCAGGGGCAGCACGCGCCCTCTGATCCTGCCATGGTGGCATCCACTTCTCCCGACTATGAGCTTCGTTGGGACCTGCATAACGTGACCGCCGCGTCAGGACCTACACGGCTCTCTTCGGCGTCTGTCGAGAACCATCGGTCTGACCCGAGCGGGCTGTGTCTCTCGAACCTCATGGTGAGTGACGGTGCTGGCCTGCTGCGGTGCTCGGCTGGCTGTGAGGTTCCTCCTACTCCTGTTGCTGGTACCACAGTCCTAAGAACGGCAATGCCACCACCCGTCAATTTTGTCCCTTCTACTCCTGTAGCAACGGCTACAACGTCGCATGGTATGGTGCATGAAATTCCTTTCCTTTGTTGTAATAATAGAGTGAGTTCTTGTTGTTGCTGCCTCACTGCTACGAGTAACGCCAACGTTTTGCAGCCGAAAAAGGCTGATCCACTCACTTTAGGCGAGTTGCGAGGCAGTCGAAGATCGTACATGAATTTCTCCAGCCATCCTGTATGGCCAAGCAATTTTCAGCCTTCTCCTGTAGGGAATAAACTCGTGGCGGTGGCGCCTCTGAGCAGCAAGGTGCTTGTGCCGCCTGCTAGACCGCAGTCGCTGATGAGTGTGTGCAGCACGACGGACTGTCACTTGGACATGAGACAATCCTTGTGTCCTGTACAGTCCATGGCTGACCTCACAATTGGTACCGGGAACACTTCATCCTGCGATGGCGTCTTCTGCACCAACGCTTTCACCAGAAGCTGTTTAAACGGCAAGCAGCAGTCGAGCCGTGCGTCAACCACTATATTAAATCACGGCTATCCTGTCTCTGCCGCGGCATATCCATTCACGCGTACGAATCACCAAACTCTAATAAAAGGAGTCCATTTGGACATGAGTATTAAAACAAATGCCTGCACTAGCATAAACTCCTGCACGACCGCCTCCAGTTGTAATCTGACTTCTAATTCAGTTTTGACTAACGACCCCTACGCGTCGTACGTTAATACTGGTCCGACAGCAGCATTTCAGTGTCCAGAAGTCGCTGCGAGCAATCCTTCATTATTATTAACCGATAAAGTTTCATTGCAGCCTGTTACCTCCTACACAATTCAAGATAACAAAGCATCGCAAGATCATAAATTTCTTGAATGCTGTTCTGAATTGAAGAATTCCATATTGAATTCAAATACTTTAAAATCCATCGAAGACGACGTTCGTAATTCATTGAATATCACTACCAATCGTCCGGCTAACTCTACCTCCGTAAGTGCAAACGGCGCCCTCAATACCGTCAGAAGTTCAGTGGCCGGCACAGAAGGCATCAGTGCGCCAAATACATTAACTGATTCTGCGCTTAACGCCTTCGCGTGCGCTGATAGCGGCGGCTCCTCCAACTGCGCAGTGAAAACGAGCGGCGCGGCGCAGAATGTTTCTGCGCCGCAGCCGCAAGCACCGGCCGTATCTTTGTCGCCTTCCCTGATGCATACGCCTGCCCATATCGTCTAGCCGCGCCGCGTGTCCTCGTTACGTTATACGCAAAAGAGGCGTTGATAATCTCGTCGTACTCTTTCTTCTCAATAACTTTTTTGTTTCCAATAACCTTGAGCTTTCGATTCTGATCGTAGTTCAAATTTTATTTTCCTATAATCAATTGTGCAGACGTCCTACTCTTTCAGTCTTACTCTTACTGTCTTTATACAGTCATACTCCTACAGTCCAGCTCCTGCTCCTACAGTCCTGCTCCTACAGTCCTGCTCCTACAGTCCTGCTCCTACACTCCTGCTCCTACACTCCCGCTCCTACAGTCCTGCTCTCAAAGCTTATTTCGTGAACTTTTCAATAACAAAATAAAACTTGTATCCTCAGTAGTCATACTGACTTGCAATTTCCAACAATTTTCCTGAAAATTATTAGTGCCCTCACAATTAAGTCCATATGGAAGCGGCTCCCATTACAAATCCTGATGTTATTACATTGTAAATGAAATTACTGTTACAAGTGATTTACATGATCTTTTCAACGTCATTTTAAGACATGATCTTTTCAACGCCATGTTTTTACGTCCCACAATTGCTGTCCCAAGCAATCTCCTGAAGGAATAATCCCACTTAATAATCCATGATTTCTCTCTTAATGTTGTGTTTTTTAGTAAGTTAAGTTTATGCTACGTATTTATTTCAGATTACTTTACTTTAAGTTCTCTATAGAAAAGTTTTATGTTGTTAACTTATAATTTGCGTACGAAAAGCGCACCTTTAAACGATTATAAGTTTTATGCCACCCTTCTTACATGTTTATTATGTATTTTACATATTAATTTTATATGTAAAAATATAATGAAATAAAATAAAAATATATATAATCAATATATATACATATATATTAATTATGTATATTTTTCTGTTCACAATCTTCGATAATTTTCTTATGAATGTTATTTCACTGGAAAGCATTAACTTGTTTCCCCGCATAGATCATTTTTCATTTCAGTTTGTTAATGACTTTGATGTTATGTTGACAATGGTCAAGTATGAAGCGCATCGCAACTTTGATACATCCAAAATCTGGCCACCTGCAGAACTCGGCTCTCACCTCAATTCTTAATTATAATAACTTGATATGAGTATATTTGCGTGGCCTATAATTATAAAGGTAGCCGCTTACATCCGGATATTAATTATTTTCATCAAGTTTAATTTAAGCTTTTGAAGATGTTTGATTTTAGTTAGTCGTTACGTACTCCCCAATTGAACAAGTGCAGCTTTACTTGAACCAGTGCTGCTGGTGCAAGCGACCTCAGGCAGCTTACCTGGTGGCTCTTCGTTGTATTTCATTGCGACGACCTCTCATTGTGTACTATGAATCTCTTGATATTTTATTTACGGTTCAACATTTTCACCATTTGTGTAAGCTTAATCTAACGGGAACACGAATCTCTTGTTTATGTTTCTCTTATATGTTTGAAAACTCCTTATTTTCTTCGTTCCTATTCCGTTGTCAAAATATTCTGACCTGGCTTGTGACCGAATCAATGGAATGTTTCAAATTTATTCATATTCCTCTTTCCGTGTATATCTTTAGTTTTCAATTTTGACTGATATTGTTGCGCTGACGGCGATGATTGATATAAAAATGTTCATTTTGTTCGTTATGTTCTCTATGGTAGAAGCTCGAGTTTCATCGATATGATATTCAATTGAGCTGTCAACATTCTGTCGGGTACAGCTTTGGGTAGCCACAGCATCATTTGTGTGCTGCATTGCTGGGCCGAGAAAGTATTTATAAGATCGTTAATGATCTCCTTTGATAATAACAACATAAGTGTCCTCCCTCTTCATTGGTCGTGACGACAGAGGTGTCCGCTAATTCAGAACCTCAGTACAACCCGGATTCTCAAAACATATTGGTGCAGCAACTTAGTTGAAAGCTGATAGAAATCACGTTCCTCCTTTATGAAGCGTTATTTAGCACTGCAAAAGATGTAACATCTTGATCGGGCTTCCACCGAGCGTTATTATTATTTGTTTTTTTGCCTCAATTCTTTCATTATTTCCTGACACTTTTTCTCAAAATATGCAGGACTAATTAATCTTTGTTTTTGTTCTTCTCATTTAAGCGCCACTGCTTTACACATTTTAACTTTCCTTTGGATCAGCGTGACCGTCATAACGGCTGCCACACTGGGCAGTCAAAACTTCGTTTGTAAACTTTAATTAAAACATTAAATCTTCCACAGAGAATAATTAAATCTGTGTTTATTTTACAGTTTAGCGGATATTGTCTTCATTTTACGAATCGACTGCCCAGTGTGGTTGATTCGTTCCGGTGGTCATCTCGGTTTAGTTTGAACATGGCAAGTTCTAAGAGATAGGTTTATCAAACCTAAGTTTTTTGTCACCAAAGATTTGTTTTCAAGTAAATCATGAAATCCTTTTATTTGTTATTTTTTCTCCTTTTATTTTGTTTAAAGTTATTTTTTACTTGGTGTTCATGCGTTTATTTGACTTTTATTTTCGTTTGAATTGCGCACCTCATTTCGTCGATGAGGCTTTATTTTTTCTATATCTGTAATATTTGCGACTTAACAACACCCACCTTCATATAGACAACACAGTTAAAGACTCACGAGTATTGAATGTAGACCTTATTTAACAAAAATTACTTCAGGTCACTTATCCGCACTGACATTTGTCAAAACTTGACATAATTTTTTGTACTGAAGCTTTTGATGTGAAGTTACTCAGTTATTAAGTCCGATTATTCGGCGTATAGTATATTTCAGCTACGAAGAGCATCATTATCAATGCGGTAATATTGTTCATCTTGAGGCTGTGAGGTGGTTTTGAAGTGAATATATTGTTTTGTTGTGACCATCATGGTATAAAATGTAGTTTCCTTTATTCAAAAAAATCTTTCAATCCATGACTACGTCGCATTTCTCTTCGTTCTCTGTCAGGTAATGAGAAGATTTGCTAGTGAGCACAGAGCCACAAGCAGCCGGCCGGGAGCTATTCATGTAATTGCTATTTCAATTATTGAGTGAGGGATCACCGATCCTGTTATACACCATGCAGTGCCCCCGGGAGCGTCCTGCAGGCGTTTGGAACATCCGTGCTCTGCACTCGGAACATTTACTGGCAACTTAGCCGTTCATCTTGGATTTATTTGAAAATGATTGATGATTGAAACAACTGACCAAATTCAAAGCGGATTATGATTGACCTTTCTAAATCTCGGAAATACACTCAAAGAAACGAGTGAGACTTTGTCCAAATAGCCATGAACTTTTTTGTATGGGTCATCTTGACTCAGTGTGGACAAAAGCACTTATCAGAGCTACGTCCGCTCTGTGCTCGTGCTGTGGATAGAAAAATATTACCCATTTGTTCTTTATATTGCCTGTACTAATGTCCAATATCTTCTTTCGTCGTAGAAGATCTGCTGCTCTGGTTATTGCAGCGCAGTTTTTGCGCTGAGCTTAGTCACACGTCAGTTGCAATGTCTACTTCGTCGATTGTGATGCTCTGCAGAGATACAGACAGAAGCAAGTGGTCTTTAGTGTGATGTATCAGGAGTCATGCTTGGTCTGCACGCTTTCTCTTCGATGACCCGTCGAGAATTAGTATTGCGGTTAAATTCGGACTAAACTTCTGTAGAAGGCATTCGTATATCGAAATGATATCTCA